GTAGCACCCCTCGTGTAACTACATAATTTTTACATGAATCTATAGATTATAACTTACTTAGTTAGAATCCACTTCCCCCCAAGCGAAATAGTTGCACAAATTGAAGTATAAGCCATTCAAAGTTCACGCTTCCTCGTGTTTCGGAATCCATGAACCGCCATTGTTGTGTTGCAAATACGCATGCGCTTGAGCACAAAACACGTAATGCGCACGCGCAGATAAGAAATACTGATCTCAATCTAGGACTGGACAAGAAAAAATTATGAAATGTGCGAAAACAGGGCTGAAGTAAAACAAGATGACATCGGAATATTTTAAAAATATATGATATTTTTATGTTCTGTGCATTTTAATGGAGTTTACCAAACATTCTGAGCAATGTACCGTATCGAGCCCTCGCCAGGAACACTTCCAAGCCAACATTACAATAATAACTTATTTAAAATATTAATTAAAATATGATGTTATTTTATACTACAGCAATTGCATAACGTTTGCAAGCAAATTTGTTTTTCAGGCTTTAAATATTATCACAATCCTAAACATTCAGGGCCGTACACAGCAGGGGAGGCAATATCATTATTAATTATTCATTGGATATTTGTGACGTTTTTCGGCATATAGGCCTTACTGCCCCCAGCTGATGAAAACATTCTGCGTACGGTCCTGTAAACGTTCTAGAACTCATACCGTAATTTATCTTTTTTTTGGGGGGGGGGGAGAGAGGTATTTCTAATATACACAAAGAATCTGTTTGCACGTTTTATTCTCTTTAAATATGCAACATCGAGTACTGTGATTTTCCGTAAAATATCATAATTATCTTTCAAGTTTCAAATACAATTTCACTCCACGATTTTATACATTAATTGCTTACAGGAGAGGGCCGGGGGTGGGGAAGAAGTGGTGCTAAACAAAGAAATGACTATATACCATAAACTAAGTATTACTCGGTATTCACAATCTTATTTATTCTCTAAATCTTTTCCCGTCAATTAATTTTATTAGTCCGGGTAATGGTTGTTTATTGGCTTTGCGTCTAATCCATTATTAAGCCAAAGAACGGAGGTTAACTCTTTGCCTCAAGGGCCAACGTACCAATTCTGAGTTACGCTGACTGGAACCTCATTACGACTCTGTTTTTGTACCAACCAATCCTCAAACACTCGTATTTCGTTGTTCATGTACGCCTTTAGCGTAGCCATGTTGGGGCTCGGGGGACCCCACCCCCTCCCTGGTAAAATTTTGATGCCCCCTGAGAAAATTTATTCTATAAAAAGAAGTGAAACATAGCCCACCTACGTTTTTGCTGCCCCCCCCTGACCAAAAATCCTGCATGGCTACGTTTCTGGACATTTTGGAGAGAAGTGATGTTTTGATAAAGAGAAAACTACTCAGTCTGAGTCAGGTAATCTGTTGGTCTTGTTCCGATTTGCGTCCTAATGCTGTTGGATAGCATATTTAAATTTCCTTGAGTGAGAATGGACAGTGTGTTGTGGAAATTTAAAGCTGTTAATGCTAAATAGATAAGACAAAAACTCCCTTTCTCTTGGGATGCGCGCGTCGTATGCGCAAGTTATTATAATTAGATTGCAAACGTCACGCCATTAATGCGGTTGCATAACAATACCTCCTAAAATCTACTAAGCTATTTCCTTCTCCTTTGCTTTTTTTCGATTAACTGATCACGATGATTGCACAAATATACTGAATTGGCGAAAAGGCGTTCGTGATAAAGGCGTGCATGATCAACAACGTAACACGAGTGTTTGAACACGAAATTGGTTGGTACAAAAACCGAGTGCGTAATGAAGTTCCAGTCAGCGTAGAGCCTGAACCTCCGTTCATTCTTATTAATAATGGATTAAATGCAAAAGAAATAATAAACAACGAACCTGGACTAATAAAAGTGACAGGGAAAGATTTAGAAAATAAATAAGATTGTGAGCACCGAGTAACACTCAGTCATATTTAGGGAGTGGTCATTATTTATGGGGAGGGGGGGTTGGGAAATGGGAGGGGGGCAAACGAAGTTTTACCCTTATAAATAGGGGGGGGGGTTCAAAAAAGTTTTAACACAGAGAAAGGGGGGGTCATAAAAGTTTTTGAACTTAAATACCATGTCTAGAGTTCTGATTTCTATAATCACAAATAGCAAAAAAGAAGACTCTGAAAATGCTATTTCCAACGATCCAGAGACTCAAAATTTTCAAAATTACTGCTCAGCGCCAACCATGGTAGCGCCTCGCGATCGTGGGAGTTGGGCTCACTAAGTTTAACAAGCTTTCTACCCCCTGAGTGACCCAGTTGTGGTATTTACATAAACATACCATGCAAATACACTTAACTGATCAGATTCGGTCTATCAACGCACAATGTAACGCTGTATATCCAAAAATGTGTTTCAGAAAATGCTCACATTTAAGTTCTAGGGGTGGAAAAATACAAAAAATTTTCTGGGGGAGAATACCCCCAGACCGCCCTACTACTACATACGATACCACACCAAACTTTTTGTCACCAACAACCATCTGTCGTCTCTACACACTCAATATAGTATGGTCCCTTTTTGTAGATGCCCACCCACCCCCAGACAAGTTCTTAAAATCTCATTCCGCTGTATGAAGACGGGTCATGGGTTAGGGTTATGGTAGGACAAATGTTGCATTGCAAAGTAGTAACACATGATATATATTTTTTAATCATATATGGTTGAATCATATTCACCAGGGGCCGGTTGTTCAAAGCTGGATTAGCTTAACCCTAGGTTAACCTAAAATTCAAAGCAAACTTCCTGACAGCTTGTCTATAAATTTGGAAATATTTCTTCAGAAATCTTGTCTGGATGGATAGGAGTTTACTTGTCTGAAGTTTTGAAATAAACAGACGTGCAGAAATACACAAACTAAAACAGCAGGTTAAACTTTTAACCCAGGGTTAGCACTAACCCACCTTTGAACAACCGGCCCCAGGGTAAAACATCATGAGCTAGATTGAACAGATTGTCCTAATATTTAACTTTACCTGCAATTCACACCTGTTTCATTGCTGTTAATTTTTCAATCTACACTTGGGGGGGGGGGTCAGAAAAGTTTCTACTTTTATGAGGGGGGAGGCACAAAAAGTTTGCCTTCAGTCTGGAGGGGGGGGGGACAAAAAAGTTTTCAATCCTTATTTTCCCCATTTCCCAACTCCCCCCTCCCCATAAATAATGACCACTCCCTTATGGTATATCGTAATTTCTCTGTTTAGCACCCCCCACCCCTACTCCCCACCCCTTTCTCCTGCAACCAATTAATTAATGTATAAAATCGTGAAACATGAAAGTATTGTATTTGAAAGATAATTATGATATTTTACTGATAATCACAGTACCCGATGTTGCATATATAAAGAGAATCAAACGTGCAAAACAGTTGTATATACTAGAATTAAACCCCCCTCCCCCCTTCTAAATTGGATAGAGAAATTACGGTATGCATGTTTTAGAATATTTAGGATTGTGATATTATTTAAAGCCTGAAAAACAGATTCGCTTGCAAACGTTATGCAATTGCTGTAGTATAAAATAACATCATATTTTAAATAAGTTATTATTGTAATGTTGGCTTGGAAGTGTTCATGGCGAGGGCTCGATACGGTACATTGCTTAGAATGTTTGGTAAACTCCATTAAAATGCACAGAACATAAAAATATCATATATTTTTAAAATATTCCGATGTCATCTTGTTTTATTTCAGCCCTGTTTTCGCACATTTCATAATTTTTTCTTGTCCAGTCCTAGATTGAGATCAGTTTTTCTTATCTGCGCGTGCGCATTACGTGTTTTGTGCTCAAGCGCATGCGTATTTGCAACACAACAATGGCGGTTCATGGATTCCGAAACACGAGGAAGCGTGAACTTTGAAGAGCTTATACTTCAATTTGTGCAACTATTTCGCTTGGGGGGAAATGGATTCTAACTAAGTAAGTTATAATCTATAGATTCATGTAAAAATTATGTAGTTACACGAGGGGTGCTACGGAATCTGTTTTCTAAGCATATTTTCGACCCTCATCTCACGGCCTAATTAGGGCCTGTTTGTTTTCATTATTGGAAAGGAAATCGTCTTTCTTCCCTGCAAATTTTGTCGCTTCAGAAATATCGACTTTGTTAGCAATGCGACTTTGGCTACGCCGCTGGTGAGTATGGTCCTTAGTGTTTGGTCCGCCACCGTAACCATCGAAGATGACAGTAGCCTTTCCATAATGCTTCACTGTGAAATCTGCATAGTCGTTAGCAATGAAACTATAAGTCTTTCCTTCAGTTCACTTCAATCGATGAAGAAGGGACCCTCCATCTAGGACGTTGTGCTCGACCTCTGGAATATAATGAAGGACTGCTTCATCGGAACAAGATGCAACATAGTTTTTAAGACCGTCAAGAAGTTGGGCTTTATCCGCCTTGCGTAGCAGGTTTTTTGCCTCAAACAATGATGGAGGGTATGGTGAAAGTTCATAGCTCAACACCTCTTCAAGCGAAAGGTCTTCTGTTTGACATACAACAAGAAACCTCTGGAACAACAGAGCTGGGTCTATTGTTCTATCTTCGGCAACTTTGACCGCGCGAGCAGATGCCAGCGTCCTTGCTTTCAGTTTTCTTTTGTAAGCAAAGGAAAACACCGGCTGTTCCTCCATGGTCGCCAAAGTTTCCTTTCCAATGGCAAACAGGTTATGGACGTTTACATCCTCGTTGGCGTTGACACCGGTAATTATGTTGCGCAAAGATGCCTCTTCTGAGAAGGGAGAAAATTCTTGGCGTTTTCCCGCAATTTTCTCAAGGTCTTCGTGATCTCTTTTCACCCTTGACGCAGTCGCTTCTTTTGTGCTGTTCGCTGGTAACTAAGCTCTGGTCGGTAAAAGACTGCATCTTATCGCTGTATGCTGAACACACTGGTGCAGACATAGTCCACAGGACTCTCTGGTGTTCAGACATTCCACTTCCTCTCGTGAGACCACCTGCAATCTTTAGGGACCGCATAAGAGCTTGCTCGATTACAAGATCGCAACCCAGTCCAGCCCAATACTGATCACTTTGCCTGATAACGTGCAACCCATTCATGAACTTGCGGAAGACTGACAGATTGCCCTTTTCAAGTCTTGTCATGGATTGCAGGTACAGATAAGCCGATTTCAGATAATTTGAATGTCCAGCTGCAGCAAATATAGGTAAACACTCAGATATAGCATGAAGATGCATCAACCAGGATCCAGTACGGTCAGCTTTGATAAGTTCCCTCGCAGTTCTTATCATCTGCTGATAAACCAGCCACAGTTTGGCGGTGGCAGAGTGAGCTGACAATTCGCCTTCTTTGGAAGACAAGATCTGAGCTATTTCACTAAGGCAGCTAGATGAGATTAACGAATCAAGATGACTATGCCCTGGCACTTCCTGTTCGTACAACTCCTCCAGTTTTTGCAATAGGTTTGCAAAGTCAGGGCGATCGGACATTACCTTGTCAACGACCTGTTGTGTGAGGCACTGATCGAGGAGAAGATGTCCGCGTAATGCTCGTTGAACTGCCTTTCCAGTCATGATATGCTGCACTGCATTTTCGCCGTAAATGGTTCCTAGAATCTCCTTGATTCCACTCCCATCCATCAACGTTCCTATGGCACCCAGAAGATTCATTAACGTGTGAAAGCTTCCAAGTAGCAACACAACACTTCGAATTTGGCTGTCTCCTGGTACCTCATGTTTGATTTCTGAAGCTTTCCAATAAAGTGGCTGATCGAATGTAACAACTGCTGTAGTTTTGTGTCCAATAGCAAGATTGCACAAGTATTCGAGGGTGGAGAAGATGCACGACTTATCTCCAGGATACATGTCAATTATTGGTAGAAAGACGACGGAAGATTGTCCTGGATGATCGCAATCTTTGTGCAACAAATGCATCATTCCCTGCCAGCCTGGCGCGGACTTCTTGAAGCGAAAGGACATTGCCCACAATATATCAATCTTGTGGGCATCGCCGTCAAAGTAAGGCATGGGATCGAATTTAATGTTGTTTCGGGCGTATTTCGCGAACCGATATTCTTTGATATCAACTTGAGCTAGCTCAACAATCTTTAACTGCGCGATTTTTTGTCTGAGAACAGTGTGACTGGTCTGCCTTTCTGGGGTTATGGCTGCTATCATCCCCATGCCGTGAAATGTTCCCTTTCCATCTAACGTGATGATGTTATGGTCAACGTTATCAGCTGCAAACAGAAGGGCTGCATCTAGTGCGTGTATGTCACCACCTAGTACGTCCGGAGCAACAGATGCTGCAGCGTTTTCCTCAAAACGTTGAACTTCGGAATATGAGGAAGAAAAACCCATTGCCGCCAGATATCTACTAGAAATCGTGACCTGAAATGGTGGTGCATCTGCACTGCTAATCCAATCTGTAATGGGGCTACTACAGCCCTAGGTCGTACAGCTTGGATGATACATTGCCCAATACTTGCTTCTTTCCTGCGAATATCCTTTCCAACAAGGAGGTTTTTGAGTAAGCAGTGCAAGCTAGGTGGAACATACTCTAATGCGGAATTTAATTCAACATCTGAAGCTTTTGGGTACTGATCTGTTGAAAGTGGAATCATTGACTTAATGTCGCTCTTGATGAGTTTGGCTGCAGTCTCTATAATAGCGCTCTTTCGGGCTCCTTCAACCGTTTCCGGTTTACTGAAGTAGTCCCTTAGGATACTGGTCTTCTCACGGAAAGTGACGATGTCATGTAACCCATTGCCCTCGGCTATGAATATTGACTCACCGTAATGTTTCAACAGCTTGGACTTCAGGTATTGATTACCATAGGCAACAGAGTCTTGTTCTACCAGATATTCACCCATTCTATCAGCAAGATCTGATACTGTTAGTTGCTCTTCATCGTTTTCCTCAAAGAAGGAACACATCCTTATAAATGCTTGCTCTTGGTTAGCATCCTTTGGCCTCCCAACCTTGCGTGCTTTCTTTTCAGTAGTTCCAACTTGGTGCTGCATGGGAATACCTCTATTTGTGCGAAAATGAATGTCACATGACCGATGATACAGACTGTCTGCTGCATGCAAATCCTTTCCAAAGTACTCTATTCTCCCTTGAACAGTAAATGCCCAATCATCGTTACGCTGTTTACAATGCGACAAGACTGTTTCCACAAATGTATCTGTTTTAACACAGCTGTATTCTTCAGAATATACGCCACTACTTGATGCCTTTACTATTTCATTTCCGCAGAATAAACAATGCGTTCTGCTGTCATAAGGCCCAATAGAAGCGCGTGCACTTCGTTTGACAGGTA